ATAAGTAGAGGACTACCTGCAGTGATCAATGTCCCTCCCAAACTTGTCAGCATATACTGGACCTGCAATATGATTGCTCTGCTGCAGATTTAACTCAGATATGTTATAATGTTGGAGTTGCAGGCTCTAACTATTGGAAGTAAAGAATACCTTTAGAATTATCTTCGTTAAATCAGACCAGGCAGCCAAATTATGACTTAAAAACTACCAAAATCGGGGGGGGGGGAGAGAGAATATATTAGTTATAATGCTCAATACTGGAAACACAGAATAAAAAATCTGAAGTATGAAAAAATTAAATATGTAAGAATGCTAAGATATTTAAATCAACATTTATACAGATTCAGCTGAGATACTATCAGACCTATCAGATTTTTCAGGCTACACAATTTAACTGAATAATCACAGAGACGAAAAACAGGATCTACCTTGGTCACAATCAGCAACAACAGAGTCTCAGTCACAGTAATGCAAAATACAATTGGTAGTCTGTCGTATAGATTACAACTAACAAATTAGTGGCAATAGTTCATACCTCCCTGTTTTGAAATGAATGTTTTCAGTCTGTGATACAGCACTGCCAGGCAAATATTCAGGTGGCATCAGAATTAAAAAAAACAAAACCAGAAACACAAAGTACACATAACCTCCTATAAAGAAAATCCCATGAGCTCCTTTCCACTGATATCACCATAAGGAGTCTTCCAGGGAAGCTGCACAGATCAAACACATGATTTAAGAACTAACATTTCACTCTAGTTTAGATTGCATGCGCCACAGGCTCAACCTCACTCCAATATGTCAACAGCCAGCATGCTGTGGGCATAGCAGGCGGGAAAAAAGAAACAAAACATTTTTGATCTTAATGTATAAAGAAGAGATTAACGTATGAGGCCTCTTCCCTCTCTTAGAATCTGTTTCCTCCCATTATTTTAAACCACTTCTTAAGACAATTGAAATGTGGATTGTTGCCTAAAGAGCAAAACTGTCATCTACACAGAATTTCTAACACACACACACACACACAGATATGAATCCTGGCATTTGCAGTTTTTTGTATGCTGTGTGCAATTTTGACATCACAGAGTTTGTCAAAATTGTCTAAACCAACAAAGTGATACCTCAGTTTGCGGGTTCTCTTTGACTATATAGGCACCATTTCTTGCTTATGACTAAAGCTCCTTATTGCAGATTTAGACAATTTAGGCAACGATTAAAGTCCATCTCATCCCCCATGGCAACAATTCTAGATGCAGTTTCATTTGTGCCAGCCGATGGGAAGAGATAGATGCAGCTTGCTTAATCACCCATTCTTTTGCAGGACCATCTCTCACTGAGTTTTATGTTGCCAACAACCATATAGGAAATCTTTTTAAAGGGCATGGGGATTACAGTAAGAAAGAAGAGCGTTGCTTGATCAGAAATCTTCTTCAGTTGGGAAAAGCTGGGAAGAAACTGTGGGAAGAAAATCCTGGATCCAAATCCATCCATTTTTTAAACTGGTTGAGTATCAGTTTTTACTTCTCAAGGCATTGATCCCTGCAATCATTGGCCTGCAGATAAAGCCAATTTTCAAGCAATAACATGCTATAGCAAGTGTCCCAAATTTGGTGAATTGTTTTATTTACAAAATGATTTTTAAAAAAACCCAGAACACTTTTCTGAATTCTTGCCATACTAAATTTTTGGATATACAGTGATATACATCACACAACTGTGAATATTTTTCCTATTTTTCATTTTTCCTATTTTGGGAATACATCACACAACTGTGAAGAATTTTCACCCAATTCTTCTAAGATTGCATGTGTTTCTGGCCTTATCCAAACTCTGAGTATTCTCCATAATATACATAGTGTCTCTTCCATGCCCCTCTATAGAAATCACCAACCTAAAACATAAATTAAACCTAGCAGAGGCTGAAAAAATGGCCCAACAAATTAAAAGGGCAAAACAAAACTTTTTTGAAAACGCTAATAAACTGGGTAGGTGGTTAGCATACACATTGAAAAAAGAAAGAGAGAAAAAATTGATAAACAAACTGCAAGACTCAAAAGGCGATTTACAATTCCAAAATGACATACTCAAAAAAATAATCAAAGACTTTTACAAGACACTTTATGACACAGAAGAAATTTCACAAGAAACAATAAAGCAATACATAAAAAAACTGACTTACCAAAAATCTCAGAGAATATCCAAAATATGCTAAATGAAAAAATATCAATGATGGAGGTAACAGAGGCCATTAAAAGGCAAAAAAAAAAAAAATTATAAGACCCCAGGTCCAGATGGGCTATCTGCAGAGTTTTATAAATGCCTACAAAATACATTAAGCCCATTAATGAAAGAACCGTGTAACGAGTTACTTTTAGAAGCTAAAATACCAAAAGAATATTACTTTAATACCCAAAGAAGACTCAGACTTGATACAGATAAAAATTATAGACCAATATCTCTATTAAATGTGGATTATAAAATTTTTGCTTCAATAATAGCAGAAAGAGTAAAGAGATTTCTGATTGAATTTATACACACAGACCAAAATGGATTTTTACCTAAGAGACAAATAAAAAACAATTTATGAATGATTTTAGACACCTTTGAATACTATGAAATGCATCCAGGGAAGCAGATGGTGCTAATATTCCTAGATGCACAGAAGGCTTTTGATAACGTAAACTGGCAATTTATGATTCAACAACTAAATGAAATGGACTTTGGAGAAAACTTTATAAATACAATTAAAACAATCTATCATAGACAAATAGCTAAAATAATCGTAAATGGAGATTTTATAGAAAGTTTTAACATTAAAAAAGGCACAAGACAAGGATGTCCATTATCCCCATTATTATTTATATTAACACTGAAAGTATTAAATAAAAATATTAGGAAGACTCAGAAATTAAAGGAATGAAGATAAAAGATGAAAAATATAAACTACAAGCATTCGCGGATGACTTGGTTTTCATATTAGAAGAGCCGCTTGTGTCAAGCCCCAAGTTTCTGAAAAAGATAGAAGAATTTGGAGAAGTGACAGGAATGAAAATAAATAGAGAAAAGACCAAACTGATAATCAAAAACCTTACAGATAAAAAAAATCAATTGTCAGAAAAAACAGATCTTCAAATAGTTAAGAAAGTTAAATACCTGGGGGTATACTTAATGACAAGATGTGCAACAATAAAAGACAACTATGCAAAACTATTAAAACAAATAAAACTAGACCTGGATAAATGGAAAAACCTATGATTCTCAATGTTAGGGAGAATAGCAACGGTGAAGATGAATATCTTATCAAAATTACTCTTCTTATTTCAAACAACACCTATAAAATTGGGGAAATTTTTTTTTTGATCAACTAAATACACTGATCTTGAAATTTATTTGGCAAAGAAAAAAAGTCAGAATTCGATTGAAAATGCTACAAGAAGCAAAAGAAAATGGAGGATTTGGGCTGCCAGATTGGGCCCTATACTATCAAGCATCTGCACTATTATGGATAAAAGAATGGATAACCCTTAGACATAAAAGACTACTATACCTAGAAGGGCATGACCCACAACTTGGATGGCATGCCTTCCTATCGTATGGGAAGAATAAAATACATAGATACTTTCAAAACCACAATATAAGAAACACACTTCTTTTAGAATGGGAAAAGATAAAAGCAAAAATGTACATGAAATACCTGGATGGCTTTCAACAATGGAAGTGTTTGTTCACCCAAACCTAATTAACTATGAGCAAATTGTGACTTTATAAAGACATTTTGAATATTGAAGGAAAACTAAAATCTAGACAAGAACTAGAAGACCAGGATATTGATCTATCATGGTGGCCACATCTGCAAATTCAAATGAGATATGAAAAAGATGCTAAAACATCTAGATTCTATAAAGGACAGAATTTGACCAGATACTATAGGCATCAGATGAAAAATTGATTAAGAAACTGTATAAGTACATGCTAAGTTTAAAGATGGAAGAGGAACAAGTTAAAGAAATAATGATAATATAAGCAAAAAACTTTGGGCATAACATAGAGTTAGAAAATTGGCAAAGCCTTTGGAAAAGAAACTCTAAAATAAGAAAGATGGTGGCATACAAAGAAAACCTATCTAAAATGCTTTACAGATGGCACTTACCACCTGTGAGGTTAGCAAAAATGTTTAAAAATATGTCTAGCAATTGTTGGAAATGTAGACAAAAACCAGGCACATATTATCATCTTTGTTGGATATGCCCTAAGGCTAAAAGATTTTGGTCAAGAATACATATATGGTTAGAGAGAATGACAAAAAACATGTAGATTTTAAGCCAGAATTATTTCTGTAGGTATAATTGTAGGAAATTATGAGAAAGAATGTGTATATTTAATGTTACATGTATTAACAGCAGTGAGAATTGTATTTGCTCAACACTGGAAAGATGAAGAATTACCAGCGGAGGAAGAGTTAATCAGGAAAATTTTGGACTGTGCAGAAAATGCGCATTGAAAATGAAGGCGAAAGAAGATTTTAGAACATGGGATACATTTTATCAATGCCTAGAAAAATGAGGTAGAGAGAAAGGAGTTTAACATGTATTAGTAAGCTAAATATTGGAACTCAGACAACATGTTGCTGATAAAATATTAAGGATTTGATTATAAAAAAAAATAATAAAATGTGATTATAAAAAAAAGAAATCACCAACCTCATTTATATTTCTAATATATATTGATTAGACTGTGAAAATCACAGGTCTGTATAAGAAAATGGCAGCCAATGTATTCCTGTGACCAAGCTCATGTGATAGTCAGTTTCAAAACATATCTGCAAAGTGGAATGTGACCACATCTGAGATTAGAGAAAAGAAACTTTCACATGCTTTTTTCTATCTTTCTACATAGCAATGGACCAAAGTCATCCAGCATCACCACTCAGAAAAACTTATTGTTAAAGTAAAAGCAGCAACACAGTTTTTAAGCACACAAACTGCAGGCAGAGGAGATACCTCAGTATTTAAGGAGTTGAAAGAAGACAAGGTAATTTGTCTGGCTAGCTTCAGGGCTTCTATCCTCATTGCAGCAAATTCTAATTCCTCCTGCCAGTGAGATGGTTGTGACAATGTACAGGGAAAATCCATTAAGCACGATGCAAAGACAAATGCCCATAGTTACAGAACACATTAGGATAATTGTTTTAGGATATTGCATATATATTGGCTGAGGTCCACATATTCTATTAGGCCATGATGGGTTTTAACTACCAATGACCGACGAAACTACACTGGCTGATCCACCAACACTACATGCTAAGGCAAGAGAATTACATTATAGTTCATTGTGTTGCAAGATTTAAGGAGAAATGACATGAAATATTTAACCCGCAATCATCTCTTTTAATTTTTTCATTAACAGTAAAATCCTTTCTGATATACATTTATTCCTCAGGGAGCTAATTACACATGCCTGAGATACAGCTATAAACTACATCAGTGATGGTGAACCTTTTAGAGACCGAGTGCCCAAACTGCAACCCAAAACCCACTTATGCATCGTCGGGTGCCAGGTGGGTGTGGCCCATTGGGTGGGTGTGGCCCATTGGGTGGGCGTGGCCCATCGGGTAGGCGTGGCTGCCGTGGTAACGGCAGACTGGGTGGGACTAAAAAGTTCAATCAATCAATTCCAACTTTGCAAGATCTTTTTTTTCCCCGTGAGAAGTTGAAATTGACTGATTGATTCAACCTTTTTTTTTTTTTTTGCACACGGCGGAGGCCTAAAGTGAAAAAGTTTTATAAAACCCAGCTGAAGGCCTAGGACTGGGGCGACGGCGCGCGTGCCCACAGAGGGGGCTCTGAGTGCCGCCTCTGGCACCCGTGCCATAGGTTCGCCACCACTGAACTACATGTTGAATGTTTAGTATCTATGAAATGTCACCAAAATGATCTTAAAAGGGGTATTTATAGTTAAGCGGAGCTAAACACTGTAACAGCTATAGCTGGCAAGGGAAGGGCGGGGGAAGGGCATGTCAAAATCTGTAAAATGGCAGATGCAGCATCATTATTTAATCTCCATTCACCTGACATGACCAGAGAGTTGGGTAGATGAAGTGTATAATGTAAAGATGTAGACAAATACATCATTCACAGATCAGATTATTTGAAAGGAAGATATACATATGTGAAACTATGTAAAATCAATATATTATGTACCCACTTTTTCTTTGGACATAAGCAAATTCAATATGTTTGTGCATGTATATGTGTGTGTGTGTGTGTGTGTGTGAGAGAGAGAGAGAGAGAGAGAGAGACAGAGAGAGATAGAGACAAAGAGAGAGAGAGAGAGAGAGAGACAGAGAGAGAGAGAGAGAGAGAGAGAGAGAAAACGAACAATTTTTATTTTTTTTTATGGCAGAGTTTTGCTACACTTTAGAAACCTGCCCTTATTGCACCAGAACATTCATAAGGAGCACAATCAAATCTGCATTACAAACCTGAAGTTTCTGAGCAAATACTGGGGGATTCTTTTCTGCTAAATCAGGCTCCAGATACTGAAGCTGATCACATACTAAAGGTGGATGAGATATCCTACTAAGGAGAGCATCAGCGGAAACATAGGAATCTTCAGGACTGATCTGAAGAGCAAGAAAGATAAAGAAATTGAGAGAACTACTCATGATTAAAACCACTAATTAGCTCCTGTAAATATATGACAAACGCCAACCAAATCTGAAGTAAAATATATACTGTATATTTTCAACTGGACCATAAAAACCTGAGATCTGGCAAGAAAATAATATATAAAACTGAACTGTTCACATGTAGATTTTTCTTTAAAAAAAATACATTTAAGACAATTCTGTTACACTCTTTTTAACTAGTGAAATAATTCCATTTCCAAAGAGCTTTTTGCAGATTGCTAACACTAGATGCGTAAGGACCACAAATCCCAATCAGGTTTGGGAAAGTCAGCCCATAGCACAGTTGCCCAAATTAGAGCTAGGAAACGCTTTTGGGAATTAATTTTGTATTATTTATTTGTTTGCTTGCTTGTTAAAGAGATGGGATTTGCACAAGTCTATCAGAGTAGGGAGAATATTTTTATATTTTCCAAGAAATGGCCCAGGGTCATTTCTCCACTCTTGGGGAAATGACAATCTAGAGCAGAGGTTTTTAAACTGGAGCATGTCCTGAGTAAGGAAGTAAGGGAGCAATTTGTAATTGCTTGTTTATGTCTTGAAGATCTAGTTTGGAGCTGCTAAGATGGTCATGCAAAATAAGAGAATCTGGATTTTGTTGTTGTTTTTTTGAGGGGGGAATGGCATTATTGAAGACTGTGAAAAGGAGTAAGTAGGTCAAACAGTTTCAGACCAGCGATCGACACCAACCTTGCTTTACAGTCAAGCTAGATGCCCAATGAAGAGATGTTCCAAACCCTTGATAACTTACTATGTTGTCTGAAGCACTTCCTATGGACACAGATTCCAGTTCTTTTGTTTTATCAGACTGTACTGATGATTCTTGGTTAGCTACTAGGCATCGTGAGGCTGGGTGCTGTAGTTTTATACCACAGGTAAGCTGACTTTCTGTTTCTTCCAGACTTGACCTAAGGGAAAGAGAATAGTATAGTATGTTTTCAAACTGGAGAACTGAAAATATTCATTGATTGTCGATTTACCTACATACTATTTTATTACAAAGCAGGCTAATTCTCAAGGTTATGGTTAGCATTTCTGTTTAAAATTAGCATTTGTTTAAAATGATTGGCATATCATGTGGTCTTATTTCAGACTAGGCAGACAGCATCTGAATGGCAGGCTTATGAGTCAAGTGAACAATATGATTACATTCTATCTATATTAAAACTATGATGCAATATTTTCATTTTTATTTCATTCTATCATTAAATCCATATCTGCCAGCATTACTACTCTAAATGAATACAGTAACTATTAGATATTTAAAGTTGTAAGTAATCAATATCTTTATGAATTATTTCTAAATTGCCATTTTCTCCTCTTGGTCATTAATGGGGTTGACATATTAAATGTTAACTGATTTTATCCTATGCCATTCCAAAGCATACCCAATTAAAGAATTTAACACATTATCATGCAGTATGTGGAACAATATAAAAGCTTCAAGAAAAACTATTTCTAGCTCTGATTATTTCATATTTTTTACAACTGTTTTAATAGATAATGCAACAAAGTACCCAGAACAAGGAGTTGTAGAATCTGATAAACGGGCTGGTGGAGACTTGATTGGACTCTCTTGCTGAGCATTGAACATGAGGTACAAAGATTGCTTTGTCTGGCCATCATCATCCTTGAGGTCAAAGAAAATATAAGAGCAATGTTACTATATATCTTTTCCTGGAACAATGTCTCCTAACTATCCTATCATGAAACATATTACAATGCTAAAAGTAATTCCAAAATTCAGATATATTAAATTAAGTACAGAATAAGTTGGCAAAACCTTTTAGCTGTTCTGCATGCAAATGAATAGCTCAATTGTGACTTTCCTCTATATGTACCATAGAGAAATACTGTAAGAGGAAACAACAAGAATTCCACAAGTAGAAACTTACGGCTATGGAAGAACCTATTTTTTCCATGTATTCTATTTCATATGTGTTGCCATATTCCAGCTCTGAAATACAAAGTAAAATGTCTTTAGTAAGGAAAAGAAAAAGTTTTCTTATGGACAGCATACATTCTCTAGACATTAAAATCAGGGTAATAAATCATAAGCCAGAATGTGCTGAATAAAGATTTTTGGCCAAGTCAAAGGTTGAAAGCATAAACTAGGACTAAATTATAATGTAGGCCCTTACATTAAATATGTGTTCTTCATGTCTTCTTCATCTATTTTTGTCAAATTAACTCAAGGGTGATGATGATGTTTTGTTTTTTTTTAAAAAACAACACCATAAATATCCAATTCAATTTTTAAACTATTAATATATAACTAAGTTAATTTTTAAGCGCTATTGCTCAAATGGAGAATCATATTTATATGCTGAATTCTCAAACAATACTACTTAACATGATAATGCATCTTTTATGTATGAATGGCGTTTATATTTATTATTGTTTGCTCTGGAATGTTAGAGATGATAGGTGTATATTTATATGGGGGGGGGGGAAACTACATCCTTTTATTATTACATGAGATGTAGGAAAATACTACTGGTCCAAAAATATTTTTTAATAAGTCTAATAAATCAAAGCTAGGGTATCTGCATGATTATCTGTAAGGGAAAAAATGTTGATGTCTTTTCCAGTGTTCGTTCGTTCTTTCTCTTTCTTTCTTTCTTTCTTTCTTTCTTTCTTTCTTTCTCACATTATTTAAACAATGTCTTTCCTTACTTAAAAGAAAGTGGCACCATCTGGAATTGCCAGACTGTATGCCTATTTTGTACTTCTGCTTCTGTTTCCAGAAACAGCTATGAGAACATTCAGAAGCATTCAATTAAACACAAGATAGCCCTCTCTCAGCGGGAGAAGAAATCTGCTATCCTAAGCATTTGCTTAGAAAACTGATATTCAGCAGCAAGAGTCAGATCAGTGGTTTATGGTAGGAGAAATCGAGGAAGCTTCAGCTGCTACTGAACATTTGAACAGGAAATGAGCCTGGAGAGGACTCATAGAGCAAAAGGGGATGATGCTTAAAGGTTAATCCACCCTTGCTTTCTTTCTATGATCATTACACCCAACTGCTTTTTTCTATACAAAATTGTTTAAATGCTTGTCTGCCCTGCTAAATAACAAACAGATACCCCCCCCCAAAAAAAAAAAACCCCACCTGGCCAGGAGAACATTGTACACCAGAGGAAGGGTTAAACTCTCCAGTTATGTGTCTGTTTTTTGCTGGAAATTATACTCCCATCTTTATACCTTGAATTGTCATGACCTGGCCTATGTTCTGTCTGTACTTCCCACCCTGATATTATTTAAACTTTCTTGCTTAAAATAAGTAACTGCAGCTTAAAATAAAAGGAATCAACATTTATAAGATGGGAGAAGTGCTCATAAACTCCTATGAGGCAGAAGTCCATGTACATATATAAATGGCTTCAACTGTTTTAAATCATTGTTTGGAAATATATTTAGCTAAATCATTTGTCCTCTATATTTAAAATGCAAAGTGTCATGGAGGTAAGAAATATCTTCCTTTTTTAAAAAAAGTATTTCATGAAAAGAACAAATTGAAATCATTGCTATGTTTGTATTATGTAATGCTTATAAGCAGTATTTTAAGAATCCAGAATAAATTCAATCTTACTGCTTATGTTTAATCACCAGTGGCACAAATCAGTTATAGCAGTGATGGCGAACCTTTTAGAGACCGAGTGCCCACTTATTTACTGTATTACCGGGTGCCAGGTGGATGTGGCCCACTGGGTGGCTGTGGTGGTCATGGCAGACTGGATGGGTGTGGCCAAGATGGGCATGGTCACCTCGATATTGCTCATGGGGAGGGGCGCCTGTGGGAGCCAGGCAGGGTTGGGGGAGATCCAGAGGGTCTCTGGGAGGTGGGGTGGTGGGCAGGAGGCTCGTCCTGTGGGGTGAGGCGAGGCAAGGTGAGGCAGGGCAGGGGTGCCATTGCCGCAGGGCAAAGTGGGGCAGAGGCCGGGGCAGCTGCTGCCTGACACCATTGGCCCCCACACACAGAGGCCAGTGAGCACATGGGGGTTGACAGTGTCCGTCAGCAGCCACAGCCTGCCGGCCCCTCGACCAGCGCACTCTGGGGCTCCGTAGCCTGCTGCCAACAGTTCAGAGAAGCCGCCTCTGAGCTGGACGGGCGGCTGACAGCTGAAGAGGCGATGCAGTGTGTCGTGCCTAGGAAAAGGAGACCATGCGAGGCTAGGAGGGATGGGACAGGGGGAGGGAAACCAGTCGTGCTGGGATGAATCCGGCCACATGGGATCTTGGCGAATTAGTGGGCGGCTGGTTGAAGAGGGACAGTTGCCATCTCCGAGGCAGGGCGCGCATGCCCACAGAGAGGGCTCTGAGTGCCGCCTCTGGCACGCGTGCCATAGGTTCGCCACCACTGGGTTATAGCAAAATGTCTGGGACTGCAACCTAATACGTTCCCTTTACAAGTATATGAATTCCTCATTGTCTTTTGTTGAGGGTGACTATTCTACAAAGAAGAGGGGGTCAACCTATTTTCCAAAGCAGCAGAAGGCAAGACAAGAAACAATGGATGGAAACTAATCAAGAAGAGAAGCAACCTATAACTAAGACGAAATTTCCTAACAGTGAGAACAATTAACCAGTGGAATGGCTTGCCTTCAGAAGTTGTAAGTGCTCCATCACTGGAAGCTTTTAAGAAGAGACTGGACAGCCACTTATCTGGAATGGTATAGGGTCTCATGCTTGTGTAGTGGTTTGGACTAGAAGACCTCCAAGGTCCCTTCCAACTCAGTTATTTGTGATTCTTCTATGTGTGATTTATATGTAGAAAGGAATGAAATACTGTATGTCAATCTATAGAGGCCTGGATTATTCTCTTTGTAACACTTTTGCACATTCTGTCATAAAATACATTGGATAATTAAATGAATGCTATAAGCAAATCCTGCCATAATCATAGAAAAATATGTTAATTATGGCATTTGTTAGATGAAATATTTCTAGAACTTTTAAAGGCAAACATGATATCATTTAAATATCTTACATCAATTGTTGCTAGTTAAATCTTAACTAATTTAATAATAAAATAAAATAGCTATTTTCTAGTTAAATCCTAACTAATTTAATAATAAAATAAAATAGCTGTTTTCTATTATTTAAATCAACTTAAAAACAAAAACAAAATCAGCTATTCCAAACATATGGACATGTTTCTAATAGTAATGTAATAATAAAGTTAACATCAAAAATGAACTTAAAATGAAAATTAATTAAAAACAAGCAAACTCTGGAATAAATTGCCCACACACAATTTTTATAAAATAGAATTTCTACTGGCAATGTTTAATGGAAAAGACTAGTTTTTCCAGCTGGGGAATTGAGGGTAGGGCTCCAAATAGGTTTCATTCTAACCTACATATCTACTGTGTAGGACAGACATGTCAAACTCGCGACGTCACGCAACATATTGGAGCTTTTTCCCCAATCCCGGCAATGGGGTGGGCGGTTTCCTGGTGACGCATCCGGCCCGCGGGCCGGCAGTTTGACACTCCTGGTATAGGAAAAGAAATGGCAGAAGCTGGGGTGGAGTTAAAAGAGGGATGAGTTCAGAATCCCTACATAGCCCCAATCATACTAATAACCCCCTTTGAATTCTGTGTACCCTTATCTAACTCCAAGCAGTGCTAACCATTGTTTGAGATGATTTCGGTACAGCAATAATTCAGTTTAATTGAACCTTCATGTGTGGACCTGGTCTTTCCCAACTGACAACTGAGAGCAACTGATTGAGGATCATGGGAACTGATATCCAGAATACCTGCATAGCTTCAAGATGGGAAAAGTTGACCATAGGCACATGGTATTACTTGGTATTCTTTAAATATATTCTGAAATTTTACCATAAATACAGTTGAGGTTTAGAAACTAGGGCTGATAAGTGTTTAACCCTTGACATTCCCAAATATTATGCAAGCTAGCAATTCAGAACAAAATTATATGTATTTTTCATAACTGAAATGCTTAATTATATTGAGGAGCAAGGCAAGAAAGAATTCTAATGAATTAACAAAAGTATAAACACAACAGGACTAGTGAAGTATTTGGGTGTTAGTTTCACTATTTAATTACAACACAGCCACCTTGAGCTTCTTCCTTTGCTAATTGGCATTCTTATCTCAGTATTCAGCTAACAGGAAAAAGTAGTGCAAATTCTCAGATCCCTTTAATTACTTTGAAGTCTCCAAATGAAGCCCATAGGAGATTCCAGGGGGAAGTATGATTATGTTTTAAAAAACTCCACAGAGGAAACACTACCTTAATTAATAGGCAATTTGAGCCACACATAATCCAGTAGACAAATCAGTATTTATACTGAGGTTAAATGCCAGCCTGCATTGACCTTAAATCCTATGTTACCAATATAATAATGTACCTTTGACTGAAAATCTTGCTTAAAAATTGCAATCTTTACTTATGTTCCGTAACTACCACACTCTATTTTATTTTTATTCCAGCCTGTTTTTAGGAAGTTCAAGATAGAATGCATATTCTTTTTTTCTTATTGCAATGTTATTCTTACAATAAGCTGCTATGGCAGGTATATCTATATGAAGGTGACTGGATTAAGATCACACTGTGACTCAGAGAGGAGTAGGTATTGAACCATAATGTGCTGGCCCCAGATAGAAATTACAACAATTCTAATAGGATGGTTCCTTCAAGAAAGGATACCATTTCCTTTAAATATTAGGTGATTATTCTTTAACTAGTACCTTCACAAAAATCCAATCTAAAATCAGTCACTATATTTAATCTTCAACATCTTATTATGATATTAGTCAAAAATGATATTTTTTCTCAAGATAGTTGGTTCTTGTAGGTTAAGTCATTGTTAAAATTAATGTTCTATTAGGAAGTTCAATGCTGTTTCACATGATTATTTTAAATTGTTTTTTACTACTACCTGGCACTTCTTCTCCTAGATGTACCCTAAAGCCAATGAGTTCTTGCTGGGACTGTATGAAGTAAGAGCAAAACAGAGTCATTAGACTTAGGAAACATTTTAAGTTACATAAGAAATCAAAACTGGCAGAAATGTTGATCTCAAAAGAAAATGCAAATATATGCTCAGGTTTGGTCATAAAATGCTTACTGTCTATACAGTATGATATCAATTTTTATATTTATGGTCCTGCCTTATCTGATAGTAAAGAGAATGTGTGCCTTCTTAGTAGTGACCATCACTACTGTGACCATAGTGACCATCTCTATGGAATATACTGAGTGTGCCTAGAACCTTGCTTTTGGCATTCCTAAAAAAATATTGAAGACATTTCTTTTCCACCAGGGATTGAATTATTAATATGAATTATTTCAACATTCTTTTAATGGTAGGGAAGAGAGTTATGATTTCAAACTACTTTGATTTCTTTTTACTTATACCAGCTTCTATAGCCTGCTAAACTCAAAGTACTCTTGGTCGATAAATTAAAATTATCAATGGAACAATATATTCAAACTGTAAAAACAATACTAGAAATACATCAATAATAATAAATAATCTAAAATAGATATTAGTAAAACAAAGCTAGGTTGAGGGCTTGGTGAAATAAAATTAAACATATTTTAAAAACCATAAAGAAGGAAGCTCTATGGATCTCTGAAGATGAGGAGTTCAAAAGTATGGGGGCTACAGAGAGAAGGCCCATAATCTAATCCAAATCCTTTTCTTTTCAGAAAAAGGGGAAACTCTTAATAGGCCTTTCTGACATCTTCTCAGAAAACATGTTTATGTTGATGTTTCATTGTAAACTGCCCAGAGTCTAGATGAGTGGATGATGATTTGATAAATAAATCAAATTAGCATCATTGCTAGTTAAATGCACAATGCTGCATGAAGACAGCATTTGTTGACAATGAGATGTGGTGAAGGATAAAAGTTCTGAATTGATTTATTTATTATAATAATTACAATATAAGTATCACTAAAACAATAAATATTGAGAAGTACCTCTATTCATGCTTAGCTAAAGCCTCTCTTGATTATATGCCCATTACAATGAATATACTGAGTGGGTGGTAACCCAAAGGTAAAAGATATTTCCAACCTTCTGAATACCACCCTTTTCCAACCTGATCTTTGTAATGAGTTGGGACAACATCAGACACAACTTCATCCCAGGTTAAGAAATAAGCTCTACATATTCAATATAAATCATGCAGTTCAATTGTGAAGAGGGAATATTACATGTTTAGCTGCCTTGCCCGTCCCGTAAATAAAGCAAACCGATCCTTACTGTACATGAAGTACATGAGGGCAGGTTGCTTTTCCTTTCTTTCCTGCTGGAACAGTTCTTTAATTGTTTCTGACAAATGGCACTTACTAGGGCAGCGGTTCTCAACCTATGGGTCGCGACCCCATTTGGGGTCGATCGACCATTTCATGGGGGTTGCCAAGCAAGGCTGTCCGCCATTTTTCCCCCTTTTCTGGTGGGTGCCTTACCTCCCTTGAGCTGGGCCAGCTGGTGGTCGGCCTGCTCCGTCTCTGCCGCTTGCCAGCTACGCCTCGGCCGGCACAGGGGGAGGAACCATGCATGCGCTGTGCTCCCAGGCAGGGAAAGTCCTTGACTTACGACCAGTTGGGTAGTCCTCGACTTATGACCGGTTTAGCCCTCGACTTACGACCGGTTTAGTCCTCGACTTACGACCGGTTGGGGGTTGCGGCATTAAAAAGGTTGAGAACCACTGTACTAGGGTTTTATCAACAGCAGGGCCATTTAATGTAGCAATAAGATCAAAAGTAGAATTTGAATGTGGGCACTCCACAAGGATGTAATAGTGTATAGAAATGTAACATGTAGTACTATCTCCACTTATGGCAATCAGAATTAACTACTGATTTCACAAAATGTTTGGACCGTTTTTAAGGAATCTTGGCACAAAACAATGTTTTCAATACAATCAAGATAAAGCTAAATATATTAGAATGTCTAAGTGGAGTAGTAAGTATACTACTGATAGCAGTGATATCCTTTGTTTCTCATTATTCTGGGCCAACATTTCCTTCCTCAAATAAATAAAGCAATATTTTTGTCTTCTTTTCCCAGTTTACCTTCTGTAGGAGAGCTGAACTTTGTTTCATTTACAAATGTTGACAGATCTGATGGCTGAGGATAATCCTGCTTATCAGAATCAAGATCCACTGTCATACAAGTCCATTTCTGATTACCCACAGATGATGCCAGCTTTTCTTCGTCTGTTGCATGAACCACAGTGGACACAACAGAGGGCGTTTCAGTACAAGGCAGTGCCATAGATTCCTAAGAAGAAAATAAAGGTTAAAAAAACTATTATGCTACAAAAAAAGAGGCAATATTCTTCTTCCATGGATCCAGCTCTCTTTTGCTTTCTTCTTAATAGTTTGACTAAATGTAAATGGTTGTAGTTGCAGGAGAAAGAACCACTTTATTCGTCCGCTTGGGTTTTGGAATTCTTTTTCATGCTATGCAAGTTATTCTAATTCAAAATAGGATCTTGAAATCTTTATTTTAAAGTTATAGAAGGATGACATTTGATCTATTTCAGAGATCTGAAAATTACTGGCATAATTAGTATAGATCTAATGACTGATTAAATTATTAGTTCTGGTACCCTAATGATTAGTTTATTTGCACAAAGATTTTACTGTAAAATTTTAACAAATACATATTGGTTTATTCTTTATAACCCCAGAATAAGACTGAGCCTTGGAATTCACCCATCATTCTAGATAAATATTACTATAGCACCAAAAATTATCCCCTCTCATGATAGTATAGATTGCGCCACATGCAGCCACAATTAATTGTGTGGTCAACAAAAAAAGAAATAAGATCAGTTTCAAATTTCAATGAAGGCTTGGAGAATTTTAACATTTCTTAAAAAAAGGCTAATTTTCAATTCTTCCTAAACATTAATTGAATGTGATCTAACATTTACTTGATGCTTGCCCATTTGATACTTCCTTTTCTGTCGTGATTAATTATTTTCTCCTTAGTGTGCTGGCTCTATAATATTAACTGTGGGAAGATGATTTCCAATCTAGTCATCTGAGCTGCCTCCTTTTTTTTTTTTTTTTTGCAAAATTTGAGAAAGTAGATAATTAATTAAGGTACAATTAATTAAGGTACAATTGAATATACCTTTAAAAAAAGAAGTATTTTAAAAAGTACTTCTTAAAGCCTCTTACCTGTGGAGGTGCATCAGACAGTGGAGATCTTTTTGGTGACTTTTTCACTCTAAATGTGTCACTGGAAAGAAAATGGAAACTCTTGAGTATGGCCAGGCCAAGAAAAATGACATAACAAGAAACAGCTAATGAATATATTATGATGAAGACTGCCTGTTTCAGAAACTTAGCATAAAAAAACCCAAAGAAGAGCATGCTATATGTCCTTTGCTCATCATGCACTCTTAGACTCAGTTACTGCCAAATTAAAAAATATCAAGCATAAATTACAAGAATTACAAGAATTAAATTAATCTGAGTTTTGTACTAAGGTTTAAAAAATCACTCCAGACAATGAAATATTTTACCGTTGAAAACAACAAAATGGTTACAGTGCTACTGGAGAATGGCCAACATAACATAATTCAGTAAATAGGAATCTTGATCAGGATTGCCCTGAGAGCTACCAGGATATCACTGCTATGTAAGTGTTGTGAAAATGTCTTCGGTTTTATCTATCAAACTATCATCTCAGGTATCCTATTTCAATTGCCAAACAAATGACAAATGAACAAAATGCATGCAAAATACCGGTGAACAAGACCACACAATTTGAGCAAGGCAGATATGGGACAAGGGTTCAAGTCTTGATCTTATCTCCTAACTATTGCAACCTGCAGGAGTGCATTTTACAGCTAGCAATATTGCCTGAGAATTTATTAAATCTTACACTAAGCATGTATGATTTGCTGGTATACTTATCCTTTTTGTTTTCTGCAGGTTATACTATAAATATTTATATTCCAAAAGCCTTAAAATATTTGAATAGGATATTCACGCCAAAAGATGTTGAGACTCTAGAAAGAGTACAGAGAAGAGCAACAAAGATGATTAGGGGACTGGAGGCCAAAGCATATAAGGATTTCTTGCTGATCGCATTTCCCTAACTCAACTTTTTGAAAAAAATTATGATGGCACTGATGATAGCAATGATCATAATTTTGAAAATTACAGAGGAAACTGGCATGTTGAAAGAATACCCAGGCCTTTAAAAATGTATTTCCAAGTATGACTCCAGATTAGATTATTTTAGAAAATAAAAATGATAGATTGCCATAATGCATTGTTTGCTTGGAAAATAAGCTCAAGGGTTCAAAGAAAGAACAAAAATCAATTAAAGGTAGCAAGAAATATCCTGAGCATCTTCGGCAACGTTCATTTTGGAAATTGGGTAGCCATTGTGTGAATAAACAACTTTCCCATGGAAGTCATTATGTGACTGTGCCATCATATGCTCTCAATATTTCCAAAATGGCTATCATTCCAGACTACTTGGGGACTTCTAAGACAGATTCAAACTGCAGGTGTAAAAAGAACTATATATTGTGGAGAGATCTTAAAGAAAAAAATTGTTTGTATCAGAAACAAAAAGAGTGAAATAGACTTAATTAAAAGTTACGGTATATTATATGTTGGTGGGAAGCAATTGCCAGTAAGATTTTCAAATATAATAGCTATGTCTCAATTAATTTCTGAAATGGCAAAAAACAAATAAAGGAGCTAAAGCAAAAATGAGTTGACTTATATAAATTATATCAATACAGGTAGTCCTTGAATTACATCCACAATGGAGCCCATCTATCATGGTCATAACTCATGATAGTCATAAAACAAATCGGTCACATGCCCATTCCAATTCTACAACCCTTTTTTGCAATGGTTGTTAAGAAAATCACCATGGTTATTGAATGAATTTACAGTGGTTAAGCAAAACCTTGGTTGTTAAGTGAACCATTAGTTCACGAAGGGCACAGTATTGCTGAAAACTGCAAGTAAATGCCAGTTTTCAGCCAAACTGCTGTAAAATGCAGTCATGTGACCACGGGATGTTGCTAATGGCCATAAGTGTGGCCAGCTACTGAGTACGTAGTGCAGTCACAAAGCTGCAGGGGAGCCTGACCATAGAACTTCAGGTCATAAGTACCCCCCAGATAGATGTTGTCAGAAATTTGATTGCTCACTAAGCAATCAAAGACTACCTGTATTTTAACCAATTGTTGAAACACATTGAGAAACCTAATGGCTAGACATATCTTATTTAGAAAATAAATTACAATATGGCTACATTGCATTAATAAGTGTATATTGAAGGAAAATAGTTGTTTTTGTCTACAATACTGTGAAAAGTTCCCAAACTCATGTTAACTGTATAACCAGAAGAGAAATGGGCTGTTATGGCTTCATGCTTCATCTCCTGGGAACCAGACTGTAGGATGCATGCACGCCACTCAAGCAGGCATGGAGAACGATATGGAAAGTGAGAATGGAAAATACCTCCTGAAGGCTTAATTGCAAAGATATAATCTGCCAAGCACGTTGGCGTTCCAAATAACATATACTTCAGCTGGAGAATATTAGATAGACGGACGGACGGACAGACGGATGATAGATTGATCAAGAAATAGTTTTGGTCAACTTTATGTACTGATCAGCCTTTTCTTCCCCACTCAAAATAATCTTGATACAAGTCCAAATAATTCTTATTGAATATAGGCATCATGACCTACATTGCTGGATATCACTGAAAACAACCTTGTACAAATAATCAACTAAACAAACTGAAACAAGACAAAACAATACATAAACCATGTAGACAGAAAAAAAACATGAGGCATTTCTGCTGATAACAGGTATGCTTAGGGTTAAAAGTTACTTACAACAAAGAACATACAGACATCACATCTTCAACCATCCTAAGACAAGTAAGACAAAAGAGAGAGAGAGACAAGACAGAAGGAACTCACTGACACAAAAGAGAAATTCCATTTATTACGTTGCAGAAAAAAAAAATCACCCATATTTTTGTTGTTTTTTAAAAAACGGACATGTCTCTAAATATTGGACAGAAATGTTCATTAGTTTATTATAATGGTTTATATAGCCACCCATATCACAATTATGAGTGGCAAAAATAGGATTAAAAGGCCGACACACAAAAATATAAGATGCTTAAAAATAATAACATAAATCACATTGATAGGCAACTGAACCACCCAGTCCCTTTACAAAATTCTAGTAGGCTCTGGGCAAAACAAATCTCAGGAAGGAGAGTATTCATGAGTCAAGAGCAACATGTGGAGTTACTTCTGAGTACAGATAGTCTTCAACTTAAAACTGTTTAGTGACCATTCAGAGTGAGTTATGACTGTTTTCACACTTACAACTATTGCAGCATCCCCATGGTCACATGATCAAAATTCAGACAGTTATGAACTGACTCATATTTATGACAATTGGGATGTCCCAGGTCATGTGATCACCTTTTGTGAGCTTCTGACAAGCAAAGTCAATGGAGAAGCCACTTAACAACCGTGTCACTAATTTAACAACTGTACTGATTTAATTCACTGAACAAATGTGGCAGGAAAGATCGTAAAATGGGGCAAAATTCATTTTACAAATGTATCGCCTAGCAACAAAGATTGGGAGGGCTCTTTTGTGGTCAAGGACTATCTGTAGTTTCTTTACTGTATTTGCCTATAGACAAAAATGTTGACCGACTAAAGAAACTACCAGCATAACTATTAGATATACTCTGTGAATTTCTGGGTGGGTGGGTGGGTGGGTGGGTAGGCAGGAGTCCGCCTTCCATTTCTTCCTGCATATCAAAGATTCCAAGCTCCACACTCTTCTTTGCTTTCAGGAACTCTGGACTACAGGAAATACAGGAAAGGGTACAATAGGGACATACGGTGAAATTATGCATAGGTTCTCCTAGTCGCAACTACCACCTACTGTTTGAAGAGAAGTCATCAGTCCAGAAGGAGCCACAGATCCCAGGGGAGGAATCTTCAACCTAAAACCAGTCAGCCTTACTAAGATTGAGTTCTTTTCCCATAGTCTAATATATAACCTTACCCAAAGGTTGTATGTATAAGTTAAACAGGACTTGGGGAGAGGATTGAGACAATTCTTTGGCAGGCCATATCTCCCTCTTCCTGCCAACATTGCCTGGCACTGGGGAAAGAAGAGCCACTATAGCAGAGATCCCCAACCTTTTGGGCACCAGGGACCGGTTCCATGGAGAGAGGTTTTTCCGTGGACAGGAGAGTGCATGATTTTGTGTGCTGCCTACATCCCGCGGATGGGGCTTTACTTGTTTGTGTGGACCATTGCTGGCATGACGTGGCCCAGTACTGGTCCACAGACTGGGGGTTGGGGATCCCTGCATTATAGCATCATATCCTTCTTCCCCAACTCATAAGCTGGTCCAGAAGAATACTACAATCAATGGAACTGAAAAGCTACTGAGAGGCCAAGGAAGACAAGATGGATATTCCCAATTTTTCTCCTGCCAGAGAGATCATGGTGCTTGGGGAATTCTGGGAGTCAAAGCCTATGCATCTTAAAGTTCCTAAGTTTGAAAATACTGAACTAAGGTATATGAGGTCACATCCTTGATGTAACTAAACAGGAATCCATCTTCATTGTCTTGGAGTGGTGATGGAAAATGGGGAAATATATATTAATGAAATACATAAACAAGAGAAGAAGAACCTTCCCCTGCCTTAGGAAGCATTTTTAAAAACTTACAGTGAATTTTTACATTCTTCATTTCAACGAGATCAATTTTACATACCCCCCAAATAAATAGAGTCTTAATACCAACAACTAAAGAATTTTTTTCTGCTCAAGTAAATTCTGGGTTAGCTCTATATGGGATTTAAATTATTTTAAATGTTATTTCATATTTATAAATGAATAAGTGTTAAATATTTTAGACAGCATAGCTTCAAGTTTTTCTTGCAGAATCTAGTGACAAGTCCAGCATATTGGATTAAATTGTATATTCAAAAAGAATAGGTGTGAGCAGCTTTGCTTCCTGTTTATGAGTCTATCCAAGTAAAACAAAAGTTAATTTGTTTTGATTTTATATTTTCATTTTTAACAACATAAAAATATTTTTAAATGCTTCAGTGCTGAATCCTATTTGAGGGCTCACTGATGTTATTCAGGGATTTATAATCACATTTCATTCTACAGTATAAAAATTAATTGCTTATTATTTCATGGCTAATTTGTTGCATGAATTTAAGTACATTCATCTGCAGCTAACTGTAAACAGAATACTACAAAATCATTTCAAAACACCACTATAATCAGAAATTAATAAGGAAATAAAAATAACACTAGGTATGCCCAATTTGATAATCCTGTTTTATTGTTCCACTGTTAACCCATAATTTGAAAGTTGGATTTATATTTATTTCCAGATATCCAATGTATCTGGTTATTTGTTTAAAATTCTCATTTATTTTTACCTGGAAGTAAAACTAATAATTTTTTTATTAAGTATAGAAATAGCAGTAGCACTTAAGATTTATATACTGCTTCATAGTGCTTTACAGCACTCTATAAGTGGTTTACAAGAGTCAGCATATTGTCCCCGACAATCTGGGTCCTCATTTTACTGATCTCAGAAGGATGGACAGCTGAGTCAACCTTGAGCCGGTCAGGATCGAACTCCCAGCAGTGGGCAGAGTTAGCCTTGCAATATTGCATTCTAACTACTACGCCATTATACTCTTGAATCTAGGTGACATGAGTATATCAGAGTATGTTTTATTTACTTCAGAGTTTATGTTTCAGCTGTGAATGTGTGCTAAGTTACAACCAAATTACTGCTCATGGTTAGTATCTACTAATACTACTTTACATTAATCAGAATCAATCCAAATAAACATTTACAATGTATATTTTTTAGAAACAATCTAAAGCTCTACACAATAACAATATTTTCAAGTAAAAACTATGCGCATTTGTGTTTTGGAAAATCATGCTTAAGGAAATCAGTATGACATTTTGAAAACATCACAGAATACACAGAGGTGTGTAAATTCACAATTTCAAATCTGTATTGACTCAACTGCCTGAACAATTTCCTTCCAGTTTTTTGGCAAGATTTTAGAACAGGTTTGCCATTGCCAGCTTCCTAGACCTGAGAGTAACTGGCCCAGGGTCACCCAGCTGGCTTTGTACCTAATCCAGGACTAGAACTCAAATGGCTTTCTGGTTTCTAGCCTGTTTCCTTAAACACTACACCAAATTGGCTCTCTGTCAGAGGTGACTTACACCTTATTAGATTAATTAACAACAAATAAAGTATCACCCCCATGTCACCCCAAACTATGAGCATAAATATCTAGTCCAATATAGGTAGTTCTGAACTTACAACAGTTCGTTTAGTGACTTTTTGAAGTTACAACGGCACGGAAAAAGTGACATGACCATTTTTCACACTTACACCTGTTGCACTATTCCCAAGGTCATGTGACCAAAATTGAGATGCTTGGCAACTGATTCATATTTATGATGACTGCAGTGTCCCAGGGTCATGTGATCACCTTTTGTGACCTTCTAACAAGCAAAGTCAATGGGGAGCCAAACTCACTTAACAACCGTGTTACTAACTTAACAACTGCAGTGATTTACTTAACAACTGTGGCAAGAAAGGTCTTAAAATGGGGCAAAACTCACTTAACCACTGTCTCATTTAGCAACACAAATTTTGGGCTCAATTGTGGTCACACGCCAAGGACTATCTGTATAGATTAGCCTTTAAATAAAAATAAAAATGAACAGATCTTTTGTGGAAAAGTTAAGCAATATAGTTTTCAAGAATACACAGCAATTGGAAATTATTAGTTTTATCTACTGGAAGTATTTGCTTATTGGTGAATTACCACATACAAGAAATGCAGGGTTAACTGTGGCTGAAATTCATAGCAAGCAATACAATTTGTAAGGTATATGCTATCTAATTCCCCATTCTCACAACCAATTTTAATGGTAAGAAGACAAAATATGGCTTTACAGCTCATTAATAAATCAACATAGCTGTACAGTTGAAAGGAAACTTATTGGCAGCTATCCTCTAACCCCTTCCCCAGATCCAGTCCCTATTTTAAGAAAATAAAAATATTTATTTTACATTTATTTATTAAACAGATTTATTTAGTTGCCCAACTCTTTCCCTCACATACACACAAAGAAATGAAACTCACTTCAGTAGCATGTGTGGCTTGTTGGTAAACTAGCCACTATAAAATACTCTAAAGACTATCTTTTAAGCATGTGAATAGCTTCTGTCATTTTGAACTCTGTATAAACTATAACCTTATAATAAACACTTTGCAGAGTAGCCTCTTAATCCTGACCAGAGTTTGTTATTATTTGACTGAATTAAACTAATCAGTTGTATTATAGAGTATATTTACATTTAATGTTAAAAAAACAACCCTGAAGACTTTTTCATGTCATGATGGAATGCCATTAAGAAACCCTACATTTTCCAAAATACATTCTGTTTAAAATGAGGGCCAGATTGCTCCTCAATTCTTGTAACAGAAATTTTTTTTTGCCAAATGTTTTAAATCTCTCATCCTAGGGATCAGCAAGATTCTTAAACTCTGAAGCAAAAGGCACATCATACATTCAGCAAAATTAAAGCTTACTTTCCAAATGCTGAGAATTAAAAAAGGTTTGAGCTTCTAGTGCACCTCAGAGCCAAAAAGGAAAATACCTTAATTCCAGCTACAATAATATGATTATTCTGGCATTAAAATTCAGTTGGGTAGGATGTACTACAGCAAACGTATACAACAAATATAGTGCCAACACAAAAACGTAAGAGAGGTTGCAAAGATTTGTCAGAGAAATGTTTTAGAGTACTGCACACATACTTTTCTATGTGTTGACTTACGTCTTGAGTGGCGTCTTCTTCTTTTTTGCCGGTTTATTTAGGCCATCTCCTTCTGATCCATTAATTTCATTGACGTTAGCTGAGATCTCAAAGGATGCTGGAGATTGTGTGGGAGAGCTGGAAACTTTTGTGGAAGATTTGAATGGATCAAGAGAATCCTCAGAGATGTCTGGATCAAAACTGTACGTTGTGGTGGTTTGCTGAGGAAGTTTTGGAGATTCTTGCATTTTGCAAGTGGGAGAGAAAGGATTGAAGTTGGGGTCATCCCATTTGTCAATATCAAAAGTATAAGAGCCCTTGGAGACAGGAATCTCATTGGGTTCCGAAGGAATCTTGGTTGGGCTTGTGGGAGTATTGTCAAGTTTCTCTCCAGTCTTTTTAGTCTTTGGCCTCCTGAGGGGCATTTTGGCCCCAGGTTTTTTGCCCACTTTTTTGGGCAGAAGAGGACTCTCCGTCTGTTCCTCACCACTGCCTTTTTCCTCAGAATAATCAAATTCCAATCTTACTGCTAAGCCTTTCACTGGAGAATCTTCTTGTCCCCCAGTGTCTGATGGTGTCACCTCCACAGCTTCTGGTGTTGTGGTAAGAGATACAGTTTTCTTGTTGGCAAGTGGAGAGTTCTGTACTTTGCTATCTCCTGATACAGGGATATCTTCCAAGTTATTTGGATCAAACAGACTCAATGACTCTAGTTCAGGAATGGCCTCGTCTTTATTAACAGTACTTTGGTATTGTTGGTTGGTACACTCAGGTTCAGTGGGCTCCAAAGTCTCTTCAGAAACTTTTTCGTCACTTGAGGCCGCAGAATCTTGCTTGAAATCTGATATCCCTGGTTCTTTTACTGGAGAAACATCCAAGGATTTTTTTGCTAACTGTTTTTTCTTTAAGGAAGCTGGCCTAGATTTTTTTGTGCGCTTAAGAGTACTAGAAGCACTGCTTGAACCGGTACTAAAAGTATCTGTTGCAGAACCTGCTGTCTCGTTGGTCCCAGGAAAAGAGGCTCCATCAAATTCTCCAGCTTGCAAACTGAGGGAACGAGATAATGTAGATCTAGAGACTGGAACAGAATCTGTGGATTTTCTTCTAACATGTGACTTGGAATCTTGACTCTTTGTGTCCAGGGAGCTTGGATCCACAGCTTGTAAGGAATCTACAACTTCAATGCTATCAAAGTCTAGGTTGTAAGTTCCACTGCTAGCAATTGGCTTGTCTTCATCAAAAACTGTAGAAAGTGAGTGGGATAGAGGGGGCAATGGAGTTTCTTCAACTGGTTCACAATGAGGTACATCAGCTACTGTTACTGTTTCAGAAGAAAAACCTATAAAAAGCAAAGGCAAAAGTTATCAGCATTTAGGAATGTCGAATCTAGAATAACTAGAGAAAGGAAAGTAGTTTATGCACCGTATAATTAAGGATACTTTCCTTTTAAAATGATCAGTTCCTTTAATCCTAAATATTTCTTTTTCTCATCCTCCTCTCTTTTTTTCATCTTTTTCAAGATAAGCATTCAAATCAGAAAACCCACAGGATAAACAAAAAATAAGCAAGAAGTGAATTATTTTTTCTTTTTCCAAAAGTAATTTCGAATAGATTTTATTTTGGATCATTTACTTTAAATATATAATATGGATAATTATATTTTATAATACAAACAAAATCTTTTATTACAACTGTAGATCAGAAAAATATTTTATAATTGTGCAAGTCAACAGAATGCTATCAAGAAATCTCTATAAAGTGAAAATCAGTATTGAGAGCAAATTGAATTACCATACAGGAAATGTGTTGCTAATATGAAAGAAGCTGCATATATTTGACCTTATCTGAACTTTAAACTACTATAGGATTTTTATACGAGGCAGGAGAGGCCTGCTAAGAACTCAAGAAAGGAACAAGCAATCATTTTCACTGATAGACACACAGTCTGTAGCATTGTCTTTCAACCTATTAAGCCCTAACACTCTGTTAGCAGATTTTGGCTGAAAATGCAGAGACAAGCTTTCAGAGAGTGATTGAGATTTATCTGATATCTTCTTGCAAAACAGTGAAAGCTATGTTGTAGCATTACAGTGCAAAGCCTTCTCCTTTTCTACATATGTTGTGATGTCACATGCATGAAAAGGATGGAGTTTGTAGTTTCTTTTTTAACTTTCCAAGGTAGCTACTGGGTTAAAATAATTTACTTCTTGTAGAAACTGGCAGCCATGGTCCATCTCAAAAATTATAAACACATTTACTACCTTAGTGCAGTAACTGCAATTTTATTATGCCATCCCTTAAAATAAATCTGACCATTCTAAATTCTAAGATACTAAATAGGGTTATTGAGTGGAAATGGTGATTTCATTTGAACATGACTGCCCTACCAGAATACCAAATTGATTAATTTAAATTTAAATTAATATACCACACTTGGGCTAAGCAATTACATTCTTATTATACTTCCAACAGAAAAAAATAAGGCACCAATAGTAAAGAATCAAAGTGCAAATAATTTACAGCATTACTACAGGCTGTCAGTATTGATGTTTTCAATAGACGATTTGTCATTTTCTCCTGGTAATTATTGTACTAGTCATGTGATCCCATAAAGTGTCTCTCAAGAACAAAGCCAAAAGCATATTCACAATTTATTTCATTGTTCCAGTAGACAATTATTTGAGCTAGAGCTACAGTTTTAACATTAAGCCTACTTTGTTTTGATGGAAAATGATTGCAAAATTTGGTGATTTAATCATAAGCCTTTTACATGCTATTTAAAAAAGAAAGAAAGCTTTATGTAGCTAACTGATACAATATCTAAAATTGCTTCATTACATTCATGGTAAATGGGATGCACATTCACAATATATTAAATGTTTTTCTGAATATGAAGGGTTTCCTTTACTGTCATGCAAGCATCTAAGCACAGGGCCCCAAAAAGATATACCCATATTCTGCAGAGGGAGAATTACATCTACAAATCTCTGGTTTTCAGCACGTTAACCATATTTATAAAATTATCCATTGAATATTTATCCCAATGACAGAACAAAAGTGCAAGGGAGAATCCAAAATTTGGGTCGGGGGGGGGGCAGAAACATACTTTCCTCTGCATGCATGCCCAGACTTTATCATTCATTAAGTCATCCTATTATATAAATGATTTCAAAATTACAATGAATAAAATACTAAAATAATAATAATAATAGTAGTAGTAGTAGTAGTAGTAGTAGTAGTAGTAGTAGTAGTAGTAGTAGTAACAACGTTGGAAGGGACCTTGGAAGTCATCAAGTCCAATCCCCTGCTCAGGCAGGTAACCCTATACCATTTTGGACAAATGGCTGTCCAGTCTCTTCTTAAAAGCTTCCAAAAACTATCCTGAGAACCTGTTTCAAGATTCATAATGTCAGACAGATCCCTATACCTCCAAAAATGAAAAACCATTCCTATACCTCCAAAAAGGAAAAACACCAAAAAGCATGGCCTTTTGACAACCTACATGCTCTCTGGGGGTATGGATTTATTTTTATTGTCTGACTTTAATTACAACTGCTCTTGCCAGCTGAGCTGCTGTGCACTTTTCATGTAAAGAGCTCACTTTTGCACACTGATCAGATCACAATCTTTGGCTGCAATCTTCTACTTGGCAGTATCTTCCATTGAGGTTAATTGGCTTAACGTTATGATTAGCTTACCTAATGTTGCCATGCTGATAAGACAATGCAACTTGGTGTATTGGACAAAACTATGATGATATGCTATCATTTTACATGCAATTATTTGGGTTTGGATTTATTTAATATACTATTTCCAATTTTCACATAGTTTGTAATTCCTATAAAACAAATTCCAGAGCTAAAATGAATTCTTCTTGAATAATACTAACCTCTTCTCCTTATGCCAACAATGCCATTTCAAATTCTGATTTGGCATTTGCTTTATTTTACTCATATTTTATCTCATGTAACATTATCCATCCAGCTTTCTTTTCACTCCATGTGGTGTCATTATTAGCTAGACTTATCCCTCTACATCAGTGGTTCTCAACCTGTGGGTTGGGACCCCATTTGGGGTCGATCGACCATTTCACGGGGGTCTCCAAGCAAGGCTGTCCGCCATTTTTTTTGTCCGCCATTTTTTTCCCCTTTTTCGGCGGGTGCCTTACCTCCCTTGGGCTGGGACAGCTGGTGGTCGGCCTGCTCCGTCTCTGCCGCTTGCCAGCTACGCCTCGGACGGCGCAGGGGGCGGAACCACACATGCACGGCGCTCCCGGGCAGGGAAAGTCCTCGACTTACGACCGGTTTAGTCCTCGACTTACGACCGGTTTAGTCCTCGACGTACGACCGGTTTAGTCCTCCACTTACGACAGGTTGGGGTCGCGGCATTAAAAAGGTTGAGAACCACTGCTCTACATCAACATTTTCCAGCCTGATACTAGGCCAATGATTTATCTTGCACAGAACATTAAGATAAATGATGTATCTAATTTTATGGATCCCAATTTTCTTTGTAAAAAACAATGTTAGAGTGTCAACTTTTTATTTTTTTTATATAGGGGCTTTGTTTAAGACCAAATTGCATCTAAGTTACAAACTGGCAGTAGATCATTCAAGCCCTCCATGCTTTCTTTTCACTGTTTAATCTTATTTTGATAGAGTGAGCTCTGTGACTTTACTAACTGCCCTTTGTTTTTAGGAAATTCTCCAGTTATTTCTCATATACTCAAGATCAGAAAAGATAGGATGCACCAAGAAGGTGGCAATATCTAGCTGACCTTTGCTGATTTCCCCCCAAAAAACCAAACCCACAGTAGGCTGAGATCTGATTGGTGCTTGGATAAGAGACCACCAGAAGATCTCAGAGCTATTGACAATACAGAGCTATTGAAAAAACATCCTAAGAGAAGGCAGTAACAAACATGTAATCACCAGGAACTGAAGATGACTTTATTTTCAACAGATACTACTTTTCCAAAGTATATTCCAAAGTATATTACTTTTCTAAAGTAGTATCACCAAGTTTCTTCAAAGTAATATGCTAGTATGATAATTTGGCATTGTTGGTTTTATGCCACTATACTGGATTACCATACTGATATATTTGAGTTAGCAGCTGTTTGTCTGATTCACGTGCCTAACACATATACATCCTCTTTTGAGAGTCCTTTTGGCAAATTCAGATTTCCTTGTATATTATTTATTTACTTATTTTATCAATGTATTTGAATGCCCACTCAGCATACTATTCTGGGTAACTCTCAAGGTCTAAATACCTCTCATCAAGGTAAAAACCAAAACAAAATATGATTGATTAAAAATAAAACCAATAAAGTAAAACATATTGTGCCATAAACCAGATACAGTATTAACATTGGGCAGCAGTTCATCTAACTTCCAGACTCAAATGTTCTGGTCTTTTATATTAAGTTGTTACAAACAATTTGTTTGTTTCAACACATTATTTTTCTAATGAACTCACCACATTATCAGTTTTAGAAGTATTCAAATACCTGATTCTGCAGTTAATTTACTAGAATAAATGACGTAGAATAATTGCCAGTACTGATTTCTTTTCTCCCCGTTTTTATAATCTAACTTCAAAAGTGCACACACAAGCTACCCTAAGAACCCTGTTCAATGTATTAATGAAAACAGAACAATCAAGTGGAAAAACCGTTCCAGGAAGTGTTGAATAGTAGACAATGCAGCTTTGTGTCTAGAGAGGTTTTTTTAATCCTGCCCTCTTGACACCAAAAACTAGTCAGAAATGAAAGGAATGTTGCCCTTTTACTTCAAAGCAGCCTCCACCAGGGAGTTTTACTATTCATGACATTTAATCACAGAGACTTTTTTGCTGTTACATTAAGTCTGGCATGGCTTGGCCTTAGGAATAGTACTGGGCTTTGGATAGTATCACACCAGAGATCTTTTAGGATTGGAATATAAATTCATGTAAAACTTAAGGAAATAACCGTGGATGTAAATCATACAGAAACAGGAAGTGTTTATTAGATTTATATCCTGCCTTTTATTCAGAAACTCAAGGAGCTTAGTTGATATGGAAAGCTGATATAAAAGGAAATATAATCTTTCTTTTCACTTTGGGCAGCTGTGAATGGACTACTTTTTATTACTTAAAACACAGAAGGAATGAAAGAAAAAGGATAACAGAAAGGGAGAGAAATAAACAGGAATAAAGGTGAATAACTGGGAGTTCAGAATGAGTTGCAATTTAATTTTGTAATTAAAGGCCGTTCTTCAAATCCTACTTAATGTAATTCTTTTTTCTTCCCTCTCCACTTAGATTTCTTTATCAAGCTGGAAAATTAATTTCCTTTTCAATTACATGTGAAAATACATGTGAGAAGATAATTGTTCTATAAAGATTTAAAATAAATGTAGAAAGATAATGGTGAAAGTCAAGCAGGGATATTCATACATCTAGCACAAAATCCTGGTTTCTCCATGCATTTGGGCACCAAATAAAGGGCTTCTCCATGTACTTGAGTACCAACTGTGTTTGCTGGAGGCATAATGATGGTGTAGATACTTTTTGCAGAAAAATATGAAATGGTAAACAACATTTACTGATATTGAAACAATGTATATGCAGCAAAAGTTGTGGCCATGTTACGTACAGACGTTTTTGAAAGTGACATCTTGGTATCGTTGGACTTTAGAAGACAGCCTTCACCAGCCTAGGTGTTCTCCAGGTATGTGAATATCAATGCAAAAAATCCCCCAGTTTGCAGAGCAAATGTAAGAATTCAGAGAGTTGAGAAGTGCCCATAATGGAGGTCTCAGAATAAGGATATGTAATAATTATTATTTTTGCTATTACTTTTTTTTACTTTAGATACATTCCACTGTTATTTTTTGAATTCACCGCAAAATTATCGATTCATCACCTTTTATTGTATTAACTTTGCATAAATTGCACGAGATTTCAAAGCAGAACAGCAGATATTCTACCTGATATAGGGTGTCAGATGATTAACCAAGGACATGTATTTATTTACCGTTTTTTTGCAACTTGCTCAATCCCAAACCTCTGAATTCTAACGGAAGCTGAGATTTATCATAAGCAAAGATGCATAAACTGACTCTTAAGCTTCCATTGCTCTGTGTACACAAACCAAAACACAGACACATATGTGTGTGTGGGGGTGTTAGGGGAAATTGGGGAACTGATGATGGGACAATACTTTGCATCATTCCTATCCAACTTACTTTGAGGCTCGGTGCTCTCTTGGCCTTTGTCAGGTGTGCTGGGACTGTAACCTGAAAAATACAAAAAAAAATAAATAAAGAAGTGACTGAAGTCTGGACAAAAGCTAAACATGGTTTAATGGGCTTCAGTTGTATTTAAATTGACTGCAAAGAACACAATTACAAGCAACAATTTTTCAAAGGGCTCCAGTTACTGCATTCAGCGCTTTGTAGAGAAGGCAAGTAGAGGTTTCTACCCTGAGATACACCACATCAGCTAGGCAGGTTAGAAAGGTTTTAAGGGTTAGTCACTATTGGTGAGAGAAGCAAAAACTGCTTCCCAAACACTGAATCCTATCATCGAATCACCATCAGATACAAAAAGTCCAAAAATATGGAAAAATTTCTGGCTATTACTAAGGTCAGCTTGGATATTATTCTCACCTTCACTGTTCATTTACCTGTGTGAAAAAATGCCATCCGGCAGGCTTAACTGTTTGATCAGTGATATTCCCTTTTCTTTGATATATGTTGTTTTCTTTTAAATTCTTTTTTTTAGTCATAAACCATCTAGGGGAATTAATAAACTTAAAACTGTTTTTACAAGCTCTTACACTGGGAATGAGGTAATGAGATGATCTGTACTTTTAACCTAACATATAAAGTTGCTTTACAATAAAGCGTGATGGTTAACTGGCACTTTCCAAGTTCTTAATCAGATTTATTCCTAATTATTAAAAGCCTTGGCCTGCAAAGCATGTGTTCTACTGACCAAGCTACCAACATTTCTCAGGAATACAAAGCCTCTTGGTATTAGCAATCCATTCTGGGGTGCTCAAACTATGAATTCACTGTATTCCTATTCACTGTAAATTGTTACCTGGGTCTTCTGATGGAAGCTGAGGTCTTATTTCTTGTTCCTCTATGTCGAATGCTACAATTTCAGGCGGTAGTTGCGGTGGTGGAGGTGCAGCTTTTACAGGAGTTGTGGATTCTGGTGTTTCAAATGCTTCTTCAGAGTCTGAACTCCTGAGCACACACAACAAACGAGGGGGAGGGGGGAAAGGAAGGTATTACATGGCTATTTTTTTCCCCAAGAGCAAGGCAAACAAAAACAAACAACTTTTGCAAAGTTCGCAGAGCTCTCCTATCTAAGGAAGCAAGAATACCTCTGCTTTTTTTTTTTTTTTCAGAGCTCCTGAGAAACTATTAGGCTTTTTTGCAGCATGATTTCTGGAGCAGAATATCATGCTCTCAACTTTATTTGGAAGAAATCTTGACACTAAAAGATTTCGAGACATCACAAAAGCAAACATGCAGGCAGGATAGAGTGAAAGGCGCTGAAAAAAAAAGCCTGCCTTTGTGACATAAAGGAGGCTTCAGCATCGACAAACAAAAAGCAATGTTAATGGAATCTTTTGATAGGATGTTGAAAAAAATTTTCTTGGCACAAGCATAAGCAAACCTAATAAGCAAAATCTTATGAGAGTCTCATAATGCTCTCAAGTCTGAAGAGATCTACCTTGATGTGCAGCTGAATGAGAGTTCCTATAAAACAAGAAAACACGGCCTTTAGGTGACATTGGAGGCTGCCTCGCCTTTCAGACTAAAGTATTGTTAATGGGGACTCATTTTTCACAGTTCACAAAAAACACAGACATTCTCGATATATGAAAAAGCATCCTTTCTTCCTTCAGAACTGCTGGCTTTCAGTAAAGTCATTCATTCATACATTCATTTCATATATCTTGATTATCCAATTCATCATAAATGACAATTTTGAGAACTTTACTACACCTATTGCCTTAAAATTATTTAGGCCATTTTAAAATATATTTTAAACTATTTTTGTGTAAAGATCTGTGAATTTTTAAAGCTTCTTCAAACAAATAAGCAGACACTGAAGAACAAGATAATCACAACCATAAATGAAGTATGCAAAGGTGGACCTAGTTAAATAACTAAAGATGGAACACTTTATTCTCAAGAAGACAATGTCCAAATGTTCTGGATTATAACTTTCCCCCTCAGTGGCTGACAATGATACTGGGAATTATGGGTTTTGGTCCAGTGGTTAAGATGCTAGACTAGAAGAGGAGAGGTCTGAGTTCTATTCCTGCCTTAGGTATGGAATCAACTGTGCCAGTCACTTTTACCACTTCTGAAAATGTTGCCTAAAAAACTCCATAAACCTATCCATGCAGTCAAGAGAAATCAAAACTCAATTGAAGGCATCAAAATATCTAATGTATCTGTAGGATGCGAAATTATGAAATATTACTTTAGTAAAAATGATGTTGAGGGTAAATAGTGTAGAATTAATTCTAAGATCACACAGATGTATTTAAAGAAAATTATCATTTGAGGTTATGGATAACATAGAGCTGAAAATAAACAAAGGTGTTTTTATGAATGAAACGGAAAACACTAGATACAATTATTCATGTATAAAATACAATTGAAACAATGCAGCACTCTGTTTTCTTCAATATTATTCAGTCAGAATTTAATTGATGAAAGATGGCAGCTTTCTGTCCTTTTTAATTTTCTTTCCTATTAACCAAATGACTTTAATGTATGATGGTTTCCTGACTTACAATATCAGCTCATAATATACAGGTAGTCCTCGATTTAGGACCGCAATTTAGCCCAAAATTTCTGTTGCTAAGTGACACATTTGTTAAGTGAGTTCTGCCCGTTTTACAACCTTTTTTGCCACAGTTGTTAAATGTATCACTGCAGTTGTTAAATTAGCAACACAGTTGTTAAGTGAATCTGGCTTCCCTATTGAGTTTACTTGTCAGAAGGTCACAAAAGATGATCACATGACTCTGTGACACCATAACTGTAATAAATATGAACCAGTTGCCAAGCGTCGTGGAAATGCCACAATGATCCTAAGTGTGAAAACAATCATAAGTCGCTTTTTTCAGTGCCATTGTAACTTCAAATGATCACTGTTGTAAGTCGAGGAAAACCTGTATCTAGAATACCACATTTTTTGCTGCTTCTCAAAGTTGTCATCATCCAATATGCCAATGGATGAGACAAAGCTTTCCACAATCTGAATGCCATTTCCTCCTTAAGAATTGAACTGCAAACCATCCAGATATAACAGTAAAGCATCCCCAGACATGGAGAACAAAACAGATCCTTGCAGGCGACCAATTATAGGGTTTGCTATAAAGAATTCCTTTTCAGTGACTATGGACTGGCATTTCTAAAAGAATCATTTAAGTCAGGATTTTTGTGGGATGTCTAAAAAAGTAGTAAGGGACCATTTTTTGGTGTTCCTCCTGATTTTGAGGGATTTATCTCCTCTCTGTTATTTCTGCAAAATATCAATATCACTTTATCTGACACTGATTGACATTCAGCTATCTAGAACCAGCCATCCTTTCCACAATTATTTGCTTTATTAAGTCTGTGCAAAACTAAAAGATTTTTGGTAAACTGTTCAATTTTTTTTCATTTTGCTTATGTTTATTTGAAGTAAAATTGCCACCAGTTGATAGATTTTTGCTGTATTTTAGCTCCTCAAAATACATTTTTTAAAATAATTTCTGGGTTCAGTCTATGTTTGTGCAGCACATAAAGGTAAATGGTGCAATATTTATTGTTATTGCTCCTACTAAACTACACCCAGTTCTTCCCAACTTCCCAATACTGTACAGCTCTGACTCAGCATAAATAAATTCCTTTTGTTAGAGAAAAATAAAAACTACACCACTGCACCCAAAGACCTTCCCTGGACACATCAACTTTTGAAACTTTATGACCTCTCTGCTATCCCTTATCCTATTTAAATAAAGATGAAAGCATTTTTTTTTAAAAAAATCACCAACAGTACACTGTTATTTTCAGTAAGAGCTATTACTAGAATAAAAACACAACCTGTATTTCTTTACAAAAGTTATCTTTGTTAGGCTTACATCATATATAACCCCACATTAAACATATGTCAGAAAAGGTCCAGTTGCTGAAAACATATGGTTCAAAGATGACAGTCTTATCTGAAAAAAAAATTTCTTTACATTTTTATACATAGTCTTAATAAATAACATTATCTTCTGCTTACTTATGTTACAGGCTCTTCTTCAGGATTATTAGCATGAATATGAAGTATTCATGCTAATAATATTACTTGGAAATTTTAAAAGAGTAGAAAAAGTAGAGAGGAAGACTGAAGTGAGGTTACCTCTATTAACTGGACACAATCCCATCGACCATAATTTCCCCAAAAAACAAGGGGTTCTCCATAGAAATTAAGTAAGATTGTGGTATTTCATTTCAGCTAACCTTCTGTCATAAAACTTTGATTAAGTTTCTTGCCTAGGTAAAGACGATTTATAAATCTTTTGGGTTTTAAGTTTAATTTAATCTTTCATACTGCCCCTTTTCAGACTGTAGAATTATAGGTGTTATCTATTACCTTTCCTTACAACTTAAAATGTCAAGATCAATAAAAATGGTGGGGTTGGGTTTTTTTGCCTGGTATCTAGAAGATGCTGATAATAGAATACTTCACTTAGGAATGAAGATATAGAACTGGACTGGTTGAGTTAAAAAGCCGTTTCCTTAGCTCGGGGTTCTGCAACCTTGACAACTTTAAGACCTGTGGCACTTTAGCTCCCAGAATTCCTCAGCCAGGAATTCTGGGAGCTGAAGTCCACAAGTCTTAAAGTTGTCAAGGTTGCAGACCCCTGCCTTAGCTGATGCTGACATCCCTATACATAAGTATTTTTCAACCTTGGAGATTTAAAGAGATGTGGACTTCAACTCTCAGAATTCCACCATGCTGTTTGGGGAATTCTAGGAGTTGAAGTCCACACCTCTTCAAGTCATTAAGGTTGAGAAACACTGATGTACAATATATGCTACGGGATTGGCATTCATGCCAGAACCTGGTTCCACCATCGTTTTGAACTGGGATATATCAACTGCATCTCTTGCTTGTGTCAGGACAGTTCTGGACAACAGCATTTTAAAATCTATCTCACATTTCGCTTATGAGCCTAGGAATCACTGCAAAAATGCCCATCATTTTTACTGAAAAGATGTTATGGAGGAACGGTGCCAGAAAACGAAACTTTTCCACATGAGAGCAACAGAAGCAGAGGAAATTTTAGCACAGGTGGGAAGTTACTGCTTTTTTATTGTTTTTATATTAGGTTTTTATCTTTGTAAGCCATGCAGAATCACTGACGGTGAGTTGGGCGGCTATATAAATTTTCATATATAAACAAATGTCTAAATACCCAAATAAATAAATGGGTCTATAGATTACATGAGAAATCTTCAGAATAAGAAAAAAAACTGAACACAAACATACATCCACCATCATAAAAGCTATCAAGAGATGTTCCCATGACTGAAAACTAGACTTCTCTAGTTTTAACCAACTTTCACAATATTTCTGCATTGCCTGATCATCCTGCTCGCTTGCAGACTTTTCTGCATGTTATTGGTGAATGCTCACAAACTGGAGTGGTCCAGTTTCCCCACAGTTTATCGCTGAAACTGCCTAGGATTGATTCATTACGATGTCTTGCTGAAGCCCTATTTGGATATAGGAAAAACTAAAGTTGAGATGTTCTGAACACAATGAATATATTCTAATTATTAAGCTATGGTTCTTTTTCCCCCTCTCCCCCCCAAAATGGCCTTCTAGATCTAAAAAGTTCCTCATAGCAACTGCACTACTATTAAAGCATCATTCTATTAATCATAAAAACAGATATTTTTTTATGAGTTTAAAAATAATTCCTTGAGCAGGACATACAAGTGTTGGCCTTCTTCACTGCACATTCTATTTGAGGCACTATTATGATTAAAGAATAAACATTAAATATGCAATTTCCTGTACTTATCCAGGCCAGACAAGATGAACCAATTATATGTTGTTGTAGATCACTGAAGACTGATAAAATTTAAGTAATACCTAAAATTGTAACGGATGCAATTTTCATAAGCACAAAGGAAAAAGCGCTGAGAGAAAGTAGAAAAATTAAATAGAAAATCAAGTTATA